CGGCGCTGTTCTCTTGTTGGATTAGCAATACCAAACTTTTCAATATTTTTGGCTTGCTGGGCCATGTCTGTCCATTCTAAATCAAAGTAAAAAAGAACCTGTGTTTATCAACAATCTCAGCAGATTAAGGATTGTGATATAAATTTTGGCTTTTTATTATTGGTATTTTACCTTATTGTAAGAAGTAAATGTATAAAGTTACAGAATTTAATAATCACACTAAAAAATACCAGATAAAAAAAATTTTGAAATAAAACTTAAGTGCTCAATCAAGAAAAGAAATTAATATTTAGTGAGCTGAGATCTTTGTTTCCTTTGTGATAAAATAACGTGGAGACCGAATATTGATGCAGAATAATATAGAGTAATACTTACTTCCAATAGCTAGAATTTTAACGACTAGATCTTGCCATTGATCTGCTTTCATAGTTTTTTGCTTTTTTTCCATTGCTTTCGCACACAAAACATCAACATCTATAGGCCACTTTATAATTACTTCATTATTAATTTGAACATTGTCTTTGTTCTTCAGCCAGGCCTGGAAAGCAACCTGAACTGGCTTTTTCCTTTCGTTTTTAAATTGCACTAAAATACACTCTTTGTCGTCAAGTTTCATATTCCGAACTGGACAATCAATTTCGCGCGACATTTTAAAAAGGTGCTTGCCCAGGTAAAAACAGATAAAGGTGCTTGCTCTAGTAAGTTTAGGGTTAGGTAAAATGTATAAAAAATGCAGCGACGAAAAATGTGTACGTCTATACGCCGACGAGGAGCATGAGATTAAGAAGCAGTAGTAATAAGAAGACTACTGGCTAACCGCTAATCGTTTGCAACTCACAGTTTTCACAGGGACGCTTACATCATGCAGCGGTGGAAGGGATGCGCAAATAGCAGAAAGTAACCGTTTGCGCATTCCCTTTACTACAATTGTGAACACACTGCCCACAAGCAGTGATAAGAATTCGAGCCCGCACGCAACCGTTTGCCCCCTCTACTTACGCACACATAAACGCTTGGTCTATCCGTCGGCGCTGCAGAGTTACACGAACCGAGCGTCTATGCGTGAGTAGAGAGGGAAAACGTGATAGCGTGCGCAGGCTCGAATTCCCATCACTGCACACAAGTTGATTGCATTTCGATGTGTGATATATTGTATAATGACCACTCTTGTACTAAAGTCAAGATTTTTGTGGTCATTTTTGATAATACTTATTGAAAATAAAAGAATAATTATTTGTCAACATGCCTCGAGGTCCGTACTTTCGGTACTTGAAAGACGTTAATATGCCAATTCCATACTCTACTTTACGTAGACGTCAACAACAAGAAAACAATAGACTTCAGATTCATGAAGAGGTTAGTGGAACTGTTGTACATTGGCATCTAATTATTCTTGTGAAATAATAAATAGATAGTTACAATAATAATAATTAAGTAGATATTATTCCTGTAAAATAATAACTCATATTATAAGCAATTCTAATATCTTTTATAATTAAGATTATTTATTTAACGTTAGCTGCACAAATTGAATCTTTTATTATATCTTTGCAGGAACAAGATTGCGATAGTAGTGAAGACAATCAAACAATAGAAATAAATGTGATAAATTCTGCGAGTAGTTCAGAAAATGGAAAAGAAGACACGGACTATTCCGAAGAATCTGTTGATGAAATCAATAATACCATTAATGATATTAATGGAAGGACAACCTCAATGATGTCATCTGATCATGAACACAGTGACTCTGATGTAGATATAGCAACGGAAAATAACATTAATTCAAGTGATTTGGACAGTGCTAGTGATGATAATTGTGACGAAAGTAATGGTTTTAATAATAATGTAGAATTTGATGCTAAAAATGCTGTCGAAGTAAGACAAGTTCTGTATCCCGGTTGTGATATTACTTCTGATGAAAGTAGACTTTTAATATTGAGTTATGCTATGCGATTTGACCTGTCTGACACAGCTCTAGAACATCTTCTTCTGTTGATTGACAGTCATTTGCCAAGCAAACAACATGGTTCTTTGTTTAGATTTTTNAAAAATATACCTAAGCCACCACAAATTCGTACTCACTTTTATTGCTTCAATGAGGAGTGTCAAAGATTACTTGTGTTTCATGCTGGCAATGTAGTAACAAATTGTGAATGTGGTGCTGTCTGTGACAAGAATGATTTGAAAAATCGAGGATACTTCTTTTTACAAATACCTTTGAAAGAGCAGCTTCAAAAATTATTAAGTGATGAGAACATAAAGAAACAGCTTAGGTGGGATGATTCTGAACAAAATGATGTAGTAAATGGAAGAGTTTATAAAAATCTTGTGAAAAGTGGGGCCTTGTCTAAGCCTGATATAACTTTACAATTTAACACGGATGGTGTTCAGATTTTTTAATCTTCTAATAATGAGTTATGGCCGTTTCAAGTTTGTATTAATGAACTTCCATATAAAATACGGAAAAATAACATATTCCTTGGTGGGTTGTGGTTTGACCATGGCAAACCAAATATGAATACCTTTCTTGAGCCGATTGTAAATGAGTTAAATAAGTTGCATAACAAAGGATTTGATTGTGAAGATGGTACTCATATCAAAGTTCATACTATTATCTCATCAGTTGATTCAATGGCTAGAGCTCCTTTACAAAATATAAAAACCTTCCGAGGCAAAAAAGGATGTTCTTTCTGCTTACATGATGGTGAAGAACATATAGTTGGGCGAGGTAAAACAAGAGTTTATCGAGGTGATATAGGTCCAAGAAGGACCCACAAGCAACATTTGAGAGATACTGCTCAAGTAATGCAAACAAGAACTGTGGTGAATGGAATTAAAGGACCATCTATTCTCCTACTTCTGCAGGACTTTAATATAATATCATCTTTTGTACCAGACTACATGCACTGTGTACTTCTTGGGGTAGTAGAAACAATGATTAGCTGGTGGTGTTGTGGTCAAAACAAAGATAAACCTTTTTATATTGGCAATGATGCAAAAATTGATGAAATTGATAATATACTCCTGACCATTAAACCACCAAGTGAAGTCACAAGGACACCTCGATCACTACATTTGAGAAAATATNGGAAAGCTTCAGAGTGGAAAAATTTCTTGCTATATTATTCTATAGTATGTCTAAAGGCAGTTAATTTTCCTAAGAAATATCTTGACCATTGGTTTCTTCTAGTGTACAGCATAGCAATATTTCTTCAAGAGCATTTTTCAACTGAAGAATTAAACCGAGCAGAAGCTGCTCTNAAAGAGTTTGTTTTCAAAATTGAGAAAATTTATAGAGAACCGGCGCTCATGAAATTTAATTTTCATTTACTATTACACATTCCGCAAAGTGTTAAAGACTTTGGATCTTTGTGGAGTGTATCTACTTTCCCTTATGAACACTACAACGGAGTGTTGGGGAAAATGTTCCAGTCATCTCAGGCAGTACCTCAGCAAATTTGTAAAATGTATCTTAGATGGCAAGCTTTGAAGGAAATGGCATCAGAATTGTTTCAAAATAATCAAACTCCAGCTTGTATAAAACATCTTTATGCAAAACTTTCTTTTGAGCGGAGAATTTTATACTGCTCAAAGGTTGGTGAATCTCTGAGATTATTAGGTGTTCCTACTCTGGGCACTTTAACTTTAGTACAGGAAAATGTTGTTGAAAATTTTTTGAATGAAAGTGTTCAAAATCACAACATACGTTTCTATAAGCGATTTATTTTTGAAAATGTACTCTATCATATACAAGATTATCAGCGTATGAGTAAGAGAATAAACAACATTGTGCAGATTGAAAATAAGAAATATATGGCTATTACTCATGTTATTGTAATTTCTACTGCAGTAAGTAACCGAACATTATGTGTTTTATTAGGCTTCAGATTGTATTCAACAGATGAATCACTTTGTGCAAACAGAGTCCTCGGTGTAACTTCGGATTCTTTTGCTAGTGTCGTAGAAATAACAAATGAATGTTTAGCTATATATCCGCAAATGATAACGAGAAAATGTGTTGTAACACCCTATCCAGATAATAGACACAAATTTTGCTGCTTTCCTCTTGTCAATTCCGTAGAAAGAGATTAATTACCAATTTCTATTTCTTAGATCGTATGACAGTGCTGGCTCTTTGCTGGTTATATGAGTAACGAGTGCCATTTACAGGCAATAGTTTTTTTAATGACACATTTATTGAATAAATTTTATGCATACTTGCGCTTTTTTTTAG